TTGCCCTGGTTGAGATCCGCTTCTTTCCTGTTTACATTCTGCTACTGTAGCTAACAGCTCAGTATGGATCGCGTTGTTTAGGGAAAGAACCAGGTCCCTATGAGTCAAAGCCACAGGAAAATCAGACAGAGGAAAGATTACGTTTTTCACGCATCCCTCTTTCCCAGGCTGCGGCCGCGCCATGGCCCGAGTCTCGGCACACGCTGTAAACCCCTCCGGAAACTCCGTACTATTTTCATCGGTGTGGGGAACAACCAGCGGCCCGGGATCCGCCTCCATGGGCACAAGTGACGGAGCAGCGTCCCACAAACGAGACCCCGCCAAACTGTTACCCAAAATGACAGAAACCCCCGCTATCGGCAACGCCACTTCTCCAGAAAACAGCTCACATTCTAGAGAAACTTTGTGCAATGGAACAAAGAGCACGTTCAATCCCATGCCCCGAACTGGCACACATGCCCCAGTCTCAGACTCACTGGACAACGGGCAAAACATCGGCACGAAAAAAAAGAGTCAAAAGCCCCTGTGTCTCTTAATATCTTGACCCGCACTTTCTTGTCACTGCCCAGCAATGACACATAGCCCTCACGGATGAAAGGGAGGTACGAGTCACAATCCTCAGACTCAAAATGCTCCACCTCATGCTTCACCCCATTACGCACAGGTACCGCTAACCCCGCGCCCTTAGGATCAGCGTGGGACCCCCCAGACTTGTTCTTCAGTGCATAACAATTTGCCTTAATGTGTCCACGCTTCTGACAGAAGTGACAAACACGGTCCCAGTCCCCTGTGGTCGAGCCTTTAACACTAAGCTTTGACACATCTGGTTTCTTCACCTCCTGCTTTGACACGGAAATGTCAAAGTGCACCGCAATCGCAAACAAATCAGACTTGATACACTCATCAAGCCTCCCAACAGTGGGATTAGCCACAAAATCCTCTACCACAGCCTCCATACTCAACCAAACTACACACACACGCGCTTTACCTTAAACAAACAAACCAGACTACTACACTGCGAGTGGAAGTGTCACAACCAGTGCGCAGCAACGGGCTCACACAACCAGAATCCCCTCTATACTTTACTTTGCCTACCTATCTCAAAACTTACCTGCCTAACTGTGCCTAGCTCTTCACGTGGTTCAGCAGCGAGAATATTAAGCACGAAACCAGTGGAGCAAACAGTTCCACGGAGTGCCCCCGAGAACAATGCTTGCGGATTGAACACCAACCACGTTCCCACGACACTATTAAAACAAAAAAACAGGTGAAGCCCTAACAGGAGACCCAGCTGTAGACAGAAGCCATTTGCCTGTGACACAAGACAGAAAACACTTCACTCACCTGTAGTCTTGAATGAACCGGTAACTTTCCACGCAAAGCCGTGTCCTCACCACAACTTTGGTGATATGGATGGCATTTTCGTAATGAATACAAAATAAAGTCAGTTAGGGCAGCTTTAAGTTGGCCGAAATGCACCGGTAGCAATACCGGCACTTCCAAAAAGTGTCGTACCGATCCTTAGTCTATGACCGGTGCGCTCATTTGCACATCTGTTTTGATTCTTTAGCTGCTCCACTGCTTTTAGAGCGCCTTTCACACTGCATCCTCTGTCTCACCAAGAGCAGGGACTGCATTACTTTTATGAAGGGAAGGCGCATGCGTCACTTTGGAAAGAGTGGCAATAGCATTAGTAACGTAATGTGACTTATTGTACAGTTTGACAGCGGTGTGGATAAAGGCCCTGCGGGTCTTATATGCTCCTTGCATATAATAGAGATATTATTTTCTATATTGTTTTCTGTTGACAGTTGTAACTAAAACTCCTTCAGGGAAAGAGAAGTGCAGTCCCTTGTATTAAAAACATGTGAACATTCCACTGGGCAAAAAATATTAATAGAGTACCGGTGTTCTGCGAAGTTGTGCCGCTCGCCGAGTTGTGCAGCAGAGCAGAACACCGGCACTTCTTTTGGGCCATTTAAAGCACTGGACCCAAGTGCAATCAGAGCCCCAGAGTTTGTTAGCTTCATTATTTCATTATTATCGGAAATAATAGACCTTGGTTTATGTGCATGACCTGAGTCTTATTTATCTTTTTAATCTGCTGTCGTGTGTGCAACTATGAAACTAACTTCTCCACTGAGAGTTGAGTAAAGGTTTATCTGATCAGTTCAGAAACAGAACAACAGACGGAAATGGACTTGTTTCATTATCTTACCAAAACGTTCAGGATTTAAAACACAATAAAAAATGTCCTGTGTTTGTTGTAAGAGAAATACTTTGGCAAATGATGAAAAGTCAGAAAAAAAACTGATTTAGAAAAAAGGAGAAAGTACAACATTAGAGGTAAAAAAAAAACTCACGTTATGGAGGAAGACACATGATTATTTACAGTGGAGTCTGTGAAGCGTTGTCTGAGAGAACTTTACAAAGTGGTGAATTCACCAAGAACATTTCATAGAATCAAAAAGGCCATTGGTTCATGGGGAGCGAGATGACCACTTAGAAACCCAGGACTGAGGCTGTAGATCTAGGACTGAGTCTGTAGACCCAGGACTGAGGCTGTAGATCTAGGACTGAGGCTGTAGACCCAGGACTGAGGCTGTAGACCCAGGACTGAGGCTGTAGACCCAGGACTAAGGCTGTAGATCCAGGACAGAGGCTGTAGACCCAGGACACAGGGGCAAAACCATGCCGGGTCAGAGAGTTCAAGATTGGCACACAATGTCATTCAGCCTCATCTCAAGTGTCCTATGTTCGTCGAGAGAGAGCGTGCTGTGAGGTGTTTAAGCAACTGCTCAATTAGTACAACTCTCCTTTGACCAGTCACGGTGCTCTCAACCACCACACGGCTTAACTCCTTGTACATCCCATCAATTTTGTTGGCCAGCAGGTCGTGAATCTTACGAACCGCCATGCCTCCGAATTTGAGGTAGAAAAGGACCGCTCCAAACCCGAAAAGGAGGATCCACACCACCAGAATTCCAACGATATATACGTCTTCCGAATCTTCAATAGACAGGACCGACAAACAGAGGGGTTGAAACTTGTTCCAGCTGTCAAGAGTATACCCCGCAGGTGCAGTCCCGTCTGGGCACACGGGCTCCCCCAACCCTCGCTTACGTGTTGAAAGAATAGAGTCAATTGCGTTGAGGGACCAGTTAATCATTTCCATAATTCTTGTTAGAGTTGTCTGTGGCAAAACTTCAGGAAAAAGACAAAAACAAGAGATAGCAAGCAGTCAGAAGCAGGAGCGGTCTGAGGACACGTCTTTGCTCGATGATGTGAGGAGCTGTAAAAACTGATCAGACTTAAACATCTTCGTCTGAACCTGTGGCTGAAATTGGAGCAACGTTGTTCACATGGTTAACCCTTGTATTATGTTGAAAAAAAATGACATTGATTATGTTGCGGGTCATTTTGACCCGTACTGTGTAAATACACTCAAAACAGTCAAGAAACCAGGTTAAACCAATAACAACTTTATTTTAGGTTATATAAATATTTAGAAAAGTGACATACAATACATTTTTAATTCCAACGCTATATTTAAGAAATATTTAGTCTAATCCTCTTGTCCTCCTCTCGGGTCAAAATGACAATTCTTTCCTCCTGCCATGCTTTCTCCTTCCTTTTTCTCATCCTGTTTTCCTTCTCTCTGTTCATCCTCATCTATTCCCTTCTTTTCTCTTCCTTCTTTCCTTCCTACCTTCCTTCCTCTTTCCTTGACCAAAGATTCGTCCTCTGAATCCTCCTTATCGTAGAAAAATTGACAATCTGGATCAGCAAGAACATTGTCCTCTGTCTCTGAAAAATCCTGTTTCTGAAATCTCTTCCTCTACATCACTATCCCAGTTAAAAATCTGTGATAAAGCCTCCTCAGATGTCATCTTTCTGGAGCTCATTTTTGGTGAGTTTGTCTAAAGCCTAGCGCACATCGACAGAGTAACTGGAGACAACTAGTTGAAGGCGGCTTTTGGCAACTGAGAGTAGATGATGGAGATGATCAGTTGAAATCGGTCGATGTGAGCGCTCTTACAACTGGAGATAAACAGTCGATCTCCGGATTCAGTCAGTTGCCCGTGTTCTACTTTTCGGCAACTAGTTGTCCTCAGATCCGGAGATATCACCCAATGTGCGCGCTCCAACAACATGTGTGTATTGCGCCCTCTACAGTTTATGTCAGAAAACACACTGTAGTTGAGGCCAGTTGCTGTTGATGTACGCGCTGTTATTCCCGAGACTGGCCTGATACTAGGAGTTGCCCGTTTTCGCCAGATTGTCGATGTGTGCGGGGCAGCAACTCATAGGCGACAGATACAGTATAATCAGTTGCCAGTCCGATGTACGCTAGGCAAAAGACATGACATGAGAACAGTGACAAGGACAAGTGTGAGAAAGTTCCCTCTCTTCACACACCTGGCTCTGGGTCTCAGAGGTAATCAAAATACAATGTCAATGAGACATGTTTTTTTGTATCTGAACAACAATTTACCTACATTAAAGCGTCTGGGTCAAAATGACCCGCAACATCATCTTTGTATACAAACTCTGCACAGACATTCCACTACACATCAAAGTGTCCAGATTTTACACACCAGTTCATGACCCTAGTTGAGGAAAAGTCACCAAATTTCAGTAAGAAAAAGAAAGGATAACCAGTACTTTGATCAACTCAAAAACTGAAATGGGTCAAATTGACCCTTAACATAATACAAGGGTTAATGAACTGTATATTGAACTTAAGGTCTGTCCAATGTCACTCTTGTCTATATCAGATAAATACATAAATAATAATAATTATTTTCATTACATGTGGATAGCCATGCTTCTATGTTCATTCCTTGAGGTTAGCCGTGCTTCAAAATTCATTCCTTGGGGTTAGCCATGCTTCTACGTTCAGATAACAGCGAGTCAGTTTGGGACAGTACTGTTCAGTCTTATGTATGTGAAATACTTGTACCTAGTATACTCTGACTCAGGCTCTCTTGTCGTACCAGAGGCCCCCGGCCCTGGTGCCCTCTCTTCCAGACCTGCAGCGGCTCCTAGTCAGCCTGGGGGACCGGCCTGGGTCCTTCCTGGGCTCCAGAGAGTGGATCGGAACGGTGGAGGCCGCTCTGGTTCTGGACCTGGGGGTCTGTCATGGAGGACCAGGTCAGGGGCCCCGGCTGCTGACCCTGGACCCTCATTACTGTGGCCCCCCTCTGGACCGAGCTGAGCTGCAGAGGGGGGGCTGGGTGAGCTGGACCGAGCTCTCGTCTCTGGACCACAGCTCCTTCTACAACCTGTGCATGCCCCAGACTGCGCCATACATCGCACACTGACGCTGTTCTGCTCTTTTTTTCCCCTTCCTTTTAAAGCTGAGGTACCTAACTTTCAAACCACAAGATAAGAATCCAATCTGTAATTTTTTTTTAACAGTGCGGCTGAGGGGTTAGTAATCTCCCTTCATACCAAAAGGTCCTGGTTTCGAATCCCGATCACAACAGGGCCTTTCTGAGTGGTGTTTGCATAATCTCCCTGTGTAGGTTTCCTCCAGGTGCTCCAGTTACCACGAAACACATGTACAACAAGTGCAATCCTTCTGCTCCCAACAGCACTTTGGGTTGCCTCGTGTATGGACTGCGCTATAAAAATAATAATCTCCTTGGACAATTTATGACCAAAGATTATGACAACAAAGGATGAGATACTGTGTTTTTGCAGAAAAAGGGAAACATTGTGAGATAAAAATAAAAGTATTCTTTCATCTGTCTGCTTCACCAAGTTGTGGATTCACCAACAACAGTTTAGAAAATCAACCAGTTCAAACGCAGGAAATGTAATAATAACAAACGCACAGGAGCCATTGGTCCATAGGAACTGAGGCCGCAGACCTAGGACTGAGGCCGCAGACCCAGGACTGAGGCCGCAGACCCAGGACTGAGGCCGCAGACCCAGGACTGAGGCCGCAGACCCAGGACTGAGGCCGTAGACCCAGGACTGAGGCATGAACGGCCTCATGCTGTATTGGAGAGAGCCCACACCCAGTCTTATGGCGCCACCTTGTGTCCAATCGTGTCAATATTTATTTATACTTCTTCTATGAGCTGCTAAACGCCTTTTTGTTACCATTTTAAGGTCGCTCCATTTTTTTTTTTCCGCCTGTGGCATAAATTAATTAATCCTAACTATTGGCCCAACCTATCTGTCAAGGAGAGGAGCCCATAAAGAGCAGTAGATGGAGGCTCAATATACAGTGGGGCAAAAAAAGTATTTAGTCAACAACCAATTGTAAGTAAGTAAGTAAGTAAGTTTTTATTTATATACCGCCTTTTCACTGCAGATCTGAGTCTCAAAGCAGTTTACAATTGTTAATTATGGGCATTTGTCTCTCACTCCACACAGAGATGGGAGCGGGGTCGCCAGTACAGGAGGCACATGCCAGAACTATTGGACATATTTTTAGTGGTAGGGGAAACCGGAGTACCCGGAGGAAACCTACGCAGACACGGGGAGAACATGCAAACTCCACTCAGAAAGGCCCTGGTCCGACCGGGATTCGAACCCAGGACCTTCTTGCTGAGAGGCGAAAGTGCTATCCACTCAGCCACCGTGCCGCCGCTTGTGCAAGTTCTCCCACTTAATAATGACAGAGGTCTGTAATTTTCATCATAGGTACACTTCAACTGTGAGAGACAGAATGTGAAAAAATAATCCAGGCATTCACATTGTAGGATTTTTAAAGAATTTATTTGTAAATTATGGTGGAAAATAAGTATTTGGTCACTTCAAACAAGGAAGATCTCTGGCTCTCACAGACCTGTAACTTCTTCTTTAAGAAGCTCTTCTGTCCTCCACTCTTTACTTGTATTAATGGCACCTGTTTGAACTTGTTATCTGTATAAAGATAGCCCAAATGTAGCCCACAACAATATTTCAACCACTGATAATCTCCCTCAATCTGGGGCTCCACGCAAGATCTCATCCCGTGGGGTCAAAATGATCATGAGAACGGTGATCAAATATCCCAGAACCACACGGGGGGACCTGGTGAATGACCTGCAGAGAGCTGGGACCAAAGTAACAAAGGTTACCATCAGTAACACACTACGACGACAGGGAATCAAATCCTGCAGTGCCAGACGTGTCCCCCTGCTGAAGCCAGTGCATGTCCAGGCCCGTCTGAAGTTTGCCAGAGAGCACATGGATGATACAGCAGAGGATTGGGAGAATGTCTTGTGGTCAGATGAAACCAAAGTAGAACTTTTTGGTATAAACTCAACTCGTCGTGTTTGGAGGAAGAAGAATACTGAGTTGCATCCCAAGAACACCATACCTACTGTGAAGCATGGGGGTGGAAACATCATGCTTTGGGGCTGTTTTTCTGCTAAGGGGACAGGACGACTGATCCGTGTTAAGGAAAGAAGGAATGGGGCCATGTATTGTGAGATTTTGAGCCAAATCCTCCTTCCATTGAGTTGAATTTCTTTTACTGACCAAATACTTATTTTCCACCATAATTTACAAATAAATTACAATATGAATTCCTCGATTTTTTTTTTCACATTCTGTCTCTCACAGTTGAAGTGTACCTATGATGAAAAATACAGACCTCTGTCATTATTTTAAGTGGGAGAACTTGCACAATTGGTGGCTGACTAAATACTTTTTTGCCCCACTGTATCTTTGTTTCAGAATTCACTGATATGTTACAGGAAAATATCAAATCATTCTTTGAAAAAAATATTGGATCTATTGAAAAATTTAGCACTGGGATGGGATGCTTCTAAAGCTTTTATTAGAGGCAAAATAATTGCATATTCTAGCAGGAAGAAAAGAATGCAAGCAAAAAAAAATTGCAATTAGAATCTCAATCAAAAAATTAAGAAACACAACTATTTCTTTATTAGTGAATGAAGTGTGTAAACTAAAATTAGACTTGAATGAAATTTATCACAAAAAGCAGAGTCTTTAGGACAACAGCAAACTTTTTTGAAAATAGGGAAAAAGCCAGTAAGCTTTTAGCAAGACAGTTAATACAACAAGATGCATCCTTTGTGATTCCGGGAATCAGGGATGAACAGGGAAAAGTGATAACAAAGGTGCAGGATATTAATTACATTTCAGAAATTTTATTCAAATTTATATTCTTCAGAAAGCCAACTTAATGAGAGAAGGGTGGAAGAATTCTTATCCCAGCTTGATCTTCCTAGGCTCTCCTCACAGCAGGCTGAAGCCATAGATTCACCAGTAACTGAAAAGGAGGTATGGGCTGCAATTCAGTCAATGAAGGCATCAAAGTCCCCGAAGCATTATATTGATATTTTGGCAGCAATATTAACAAAACTTTACGAGGAAGCATCAGCACTAAACACTCTTCCTGATACATTCCATGAAGCTCTTTTATCATTAATTCTGAAAAAAGACAAAGATCCCCTTGATCCAGGCAGTTTTCGTCCTGTAAGCTTGGTCAATGTGGATTGTGAAATCCTTACAAAAATTCAGTCAATGCGATCGGAAAAAATATCGCCTTTGCTTGTTCTTCCTGATCAGGGGGGCTTTGTAAAGGGGAGGTCCTCATCTGACAATATTAGGAGGCTGCTCCATTTGATGTGGCAGAGCTTTGAGGGAGATGTACCGGTCGCTGCCTTCTCTCTTGACGCTGAGAAGGCGTTGGAACTTAGAAAGGTTTGGTTTTGGGGGAGAATTTTTTTAATGGATCAAAGCAATATATGAAAAGCCCACTGCTGCAGTGGTTATTAATGGCTTCATTTCGTCTTTTTTTAGGTTATTTAGAGGTACAAAACCTCTGACTGTTGCAGTGAGAAGGGAAGCCAACATCAAGGGGTGGTCGCAGGTGAAAGAGAACATAAACCCTTCCTATACACGGACGTTATTTTGTGTCTCGTTTCAGATCCAGCTTCTTCTACCCAGGCTCTTCTTGATAAAGTTGAGGATTTTTCTCAAATCTCTGGGTATAAGGTAAATTGGCACAAATCAGAGGCGATGGCTATATCCAGAGTATGTCACCCGGCTTAAGTTGTTTCCGGTAATTTTAAGTCTCTGTCATCAGGTATAAAGTATTTAGGTGTAAAATTATTTAACGGATATAATGCATACAAATATGGTACCTCTTCTCACAAAAATTAGGAACAGGCTGGAGAAATGGAAGAAACTTAATTTAACGTTATGGGGTAAAGTTAACACAATCAAAAAGGTTATTGCGCCACAGTTTAATTATTTCTCTATGATACTTCCACTCGTAATACCTGAAGAATATTTTAAACAATGTAATCAACTAGGAAAGGCAAAAAACCAAGTATAAGTCTGCAAAAATGGCATGTGAGAAGGGTTGATGGGGGTCTGGATTTGCCGAATGTGGAGCTGTACAACATTGCCTTTGAAATGAGTAAGTTGGCAAAACACTGTCTCAGGACTGATAATAGATTGGGTTGGGAGGCGATTGAAAGAGAGAGTGCTGCCCCCGTCATTCTATTAGCTCTTTATCACAAAGACACTCACAGAGAACTCCAGAGGTCAATCCAATTCTTCAATATTCTAAACATATTTGGACGAAATGTCATAAACTTCTTAAAATCTCACCTTATAAACAAGTACATTCATCACTCTGGAATACTCCATCAATTAAAGTAGGGGGCATTACACTTTTTTCGGGAATCTTGGTTGAATAGTGGAATCACAACTATTTCAGATGTTGTGGAGAATAAAATATGCAAATCCTATCAAGATCTTTGAGGAGAATTTAATGATTTCTGGAGATTTTTGCAATTGAGAAGTAGTTTGAACAGTATCATCAAATATTTGCTGATGGAGAAAATATTGTACAGATCTATTTAGAATTACCCCTCAAGTGTCAGTCTGCATCCATGTTTTATAAAATGGTGTGGAGAAAATTGTACGACAAAGATGAACGTCTGAGGCTTGTTTGGGAGAGGGACCTGAATGTGAACTTAGACAGAGAGACATGGGTGAAACTAGTATCCAATGCTGGGTGGTTTACGAGAGAAGCATGTGGGAAACTTACTCATTATAAAATACTTCACAAATTCTAACTTCACACCTTCACGTCTTTTCAAAATGGGCATTCTTCAAAATGGACTATGCTGGAAATCAGGAGGGAACATTTATTCATGTCATGTGGACTTTGACTTTGGCTTTAACAGGTTTTATTTTGGCTGCTAGAGTTATCCTACGAAAATGCAAAAGTCTGGACTGTCCGACTTACAGGGAGTGGGTTGTATCAATGACTGATATTGCATTGTTTGAACTGTTGGTAGCAAAATTACATAACTGTAAAAAATGTTACTTTAGTACCTGGGAGGCTTTTATTTCCTCTTTAGGAAATAATTGTGTGCTGTAACATTGCTGTACATTTTTGTGATTAAATTTGTACAAATCTTTTCAATCTGTGCTGTATTGTTTATGTTTGTGTTATTGTTAAAAAACACAATACAAATTTAAATTACAAAAAAAACAAGTTGTATGCACAGCTAAACGGAGAACTGTTTTGAAAATCGTCTCACATTTGTTGCACTAATAAAATAAATAACGTTTGTGGCAGTCCTAAAATATTGTTCACTTTCTCAATGTGGAAGCTCTTTACACAACTTTCAGAGCACAATCGAATCAAAAGAACATTAGCTGCATTCCTACAGTTTCTCAGATAACACAACCTATAATATTATGTTGAATGCAGACAGGGCCTTCTTTAGTTCTGAAAAACACATTTCTCACATGTGATTTCATCCCAACTGTGGAAAAAAAACAACAAAATACTTTTTCTTGTTTATGTGCATTGCTCGGTCGTTAGAATACCTTCTGACCTTTACTCTTTTCACATCAAAAACAATATTTTGAAGGCTGGCAACAAGTGATAACCCAAATAATAAAAGCGTTAATATGGACAACTACAAAAATTCAAACATAATTGCATGCATTATGAATATATTAACAAATCTATTTTCCCAATGTTCACTGTTGCTATGACAAACGTCTCCATGGCAACCAGAATGTGTCAGATCTCGGTGATGTCATCAGCAGAATATGCAGAGATTAGGTGGCCACAGAGATCATCTGTATCCACATAAAGAGGCAAGTATTTGACTTTAGTACACACAGGACAAAGAGCTAAAGGCAAACCCACAGCACAGGACAGAGAGAAACAATCTTTCAAACAAGCAAGATGGGAAAAAATTCTAAGAAGAGAAGAAACCAGAAAATATCTCCCAGTATGGCAGACAGACCCTATGTGTCAAATCATGAGCTGTCTGCAAAAGCTGCAAATTCTGACTCTGAATCTGCAAAACCAGCTGATTCTGAAACAAAAGAGGTTTGGAAGTATTATAAATACGATGCAGGAAAGGACATTTGGTATAAAAGGCCAGTTACACCGACTCAGCAGAACAAGGAGGCTCCAGTAACACAGGTCTTATCACCAATTCCTGAGACTGAAGATGTTGACTCTTCAAGTGAGCTTCCGACTCCTAAAGGTAAAAACAGGAGGAAAAAGGAAACTGTACGGTTACAAAGTCTTCTCATCCAAATGGAGCCAGGCAGAAGAGAGACTCTGACCAATGACGAGGCAGCTCAGGAACCTTCAACTTCGGGGCCTGAAGTCACAAAAACAAGAGTTCACTACGCCGATATTCTGGATGAGCCAAAGGAGTTTGATGGTCCTTCAGTGAGACCGAAAAAGGCAAGTTCGATAAAGGCCTTAGATCACTTCTTCACCCACATGGCAGATGATGAGCTAGATATCGATTACTATTGTAGGCCATTGAAAAACTATAATAATGAAAAAGCTAATGTTCAGGCAGCTACAAACTTTCAGGCTCCAAAACCAATGCATTTGCCAATGAAGGTGACTGCCCTTTCCAACAGTGAGCAGGTCAAGGAGGCACCTGTCTTTGACAAAAAACCACAAAAGGACCCAAGGATTATTGAGCAGACCTGCCCTGCTTACAAAAACAACAGGGAATATGAAAATGTTTCAAGGGTTCCTGAGCCAATCAATCACCCTGCTAATTTCCAGAAAAGTTACTGTCAGGCAGTATCCACTCCCAACCACCTGGTCACAAAAGAAAAATGTGATCCAGAGTATTCGCAGGAGACAGGGCCTTCCGCAAGGTCAATGACTGAATTGAGGGATAATGAGGAGGCAAGGGACCAATTCTGGAGTAGGCCTCAAAGTAGCAAGATGGGAAAAAACTCACCGAATCAGCAGAACAAGGAGGGTCCAATAACACAGGCCTTATCACCAATTCCTGAGACTGAAGTGGTTGACTCTTCAAGTGAGCTTCCAACTCCTAAAGGTAAAAACAGGAGAACAAAGGAAACTGTACGGTTACAAAGTCTTCTCATCCAACTGGAGCCAAGCAGAAGAGAGACTCTGACCAATGACGAGGCAGCTCAGGAACCTTCAACTTCGGGGCCTGAAGTCACAAAACCAAGTGTTCACTTCTATGCCGATATCCCGGATGAGCCAAAGGAGTTTGATGGTCCTTCAGTGAGACCTAAAAAGATAAGTTCGATAAAGGCATTAGATCACTTCTTCACCCACATGCCCGATGATGAGCTAGATATTGATTACTATTGTAGGCCTTTGAAAAACTATGCTTATGAGAAAGCAACAAATGTTCAGACAGCTACAACATTCCAGGCTCCAACACCAAAGCCTTTGTCAATGAAGACGACTGCCACTTCAAAAATTGAACAGGTCAAGGAGGCACCTGTCTTTGACGAAAAACCCCAAGAGGACCCAAGGATTATTGAGCAGACCTGCCCTGCCTACAAAAACAACAGGGAATATGAGAACATTTCAAGAGTTTCTGAACCAACCAATCACCCTACATATCACAAGAAAAGTTACAGTCACGCAATATCCACTCCGAACCGCCTGGTCACAAAAGAAAGATTTGATCCAAAGCCTCTGCAGGAGACTGGTTCTTCCGCAAGGTCAATGACTGAAATGTGGGATGATGAGGAGGCAAGTGAGGAATTCTGGAGTAGGCCTCTGGAATTTCTTCCAACAAGTCCAACAAACATAGAAGATTGGAAAGCCTCAGTTGAAATACTGGAGGTACATTTTGGACCGTCAACATCCAATGAGAAGGCTGTGGAAGTGACTGGTCATTCTATAATGGATGATGATGAATTTGAGGATTTTGATGAGTTCAATATTGGATCTATAGAGTTTTACAAAACAGGCATGTCCAAACTGGACATGAGTGCCACGTATCGCTCTTCCAACTGGAATTGTGCTATATAAAGACCGCTATCTCCGGTCTGTTACGATGACGCCATAAGCACATGCAAAGATTAGGTAAACACAGAGAGATACATCATTTTGACTTTCGCACAGAACTATAGGCTTTGTGCTAAAGTCAAAGAGTTACGGCTAAACTCTAACCACACGCTGCGAGAAAACAGTCTTTCAAAGTAGCAAGATTGTTGCCTTATCACAGATTTTGGCATAAGAAGTCAGGCATCAGATTGCTTCTACTCCCATATGCCTTATGATGAGCCACAACTATAGGTCTTTGAAAAAATATGCAATAGACTAAACTAGCTTGAAAGCTAATGAGAAAGAAAAACAGAAAACAGCTACAAAGGTCTTTGACAAAAAACTTTGACAGGAATGAAGGTTATTGTGTTACAGAGTTATGAGTACCACTTACCGCTCTCCCAACTTGAATTGTGAGATCCTGATGTTTGAAACAAGAGGCATGGAAAGCAAAATAAAGCATTAGCCTCACTACATGCTGCAAGCCAAGATTTGGCGCTGAACCAGGTCCTGGAAAAAGTACGAGTGTACCGTCTCCCCCTGTCGCTGGACTGCTGACCAATGGTAATATTTGGCTGATCAGGTCCAAGCTCTTTAACCTCAACCTTCTCCTGGTATGATCTTCTCTCAAACGGTATTGTACGTTCGTCTTTTATATAAGGACCACTGTCTCTGGTCTGATCCCCAGAGAACTCTTTAAACTGCATCAAAAAATAAATAAAAACTTATTACCTTTTAAAGAATGGTGTCTTCAGGTCGGATTAATATGTGTGATGCAAAAATATGTGAATATGAGGTACTGATACAGAGTTATTGATATTTTTAACAACTTTTAACGTTTCTATTGTTCAATGTGTCAATTTGGGTCTAAATATTGTTCAAAACAACCAATAAAATTGAGGTAATACTAATCCTGTGTGAATTAGGATAAAGAAAGACACTTTAGTGGAAGAGCCATAATGTTTAAGGTTGTTATGGAAACGTCAGGGTTGATGCATGAGTCACGGGAGCCCTGGGGGGTCTGCCCGGTAACTTCGAATATGGCAGATACCGGTGTTCAGGTGAGAAGTCGAAGGGATCTGGGAAGCCGTATTTCTTTGCTGACTGTTTATTTTGTGGGTTTTTTTGTACACGTAAGAAAACAGTATGGCCAATGTGCAATGTGTCTCTTTGTGAGCTGATGATCACAGTCACTACATTAGTCAACAAAAAAAGGCATTTGTTCGAAAGCCATTAATCGCAATACTGCCAAGCCCCTGTGATCCAAGATGCTGCCCTTTTCAAATGAATAGCTTGTGATCAGTAGCACATGGGACATACACTGGAGCCAAAGATTAGAGGCATTCACCCATAGGTTCTCCTGGTTTTGCAAAATCCACGATGCCGTCCACTTTAACCAATCAAGTGATGCCAAGGGCTGTCAATATATTGTATATATTAAAACAAATATTAGACAGCCCTTAATATTCTCCGGAACTACATGAAAAGAGAACAAAGAATTCTGAACATCAGCGGTGAGTGACCCAAATAAAAACTTTACCTAAATCCTTAATCAGATCCTCTGCAAATGTGTCCTAAAATGTTCTACTATTGTTAATGGTTACTTCCGGGTTCATCACGATCGTTTTTGGTCACATTAAAACAGTATTATTGTCATGAAAACGTTAAAAGATAATTCTGAAAACCTCCGTGCACATGTGTTAAGGAGGTATATGTATAATATATTCTCCGATTAACATTTAAAGGTGTTAATCGATTGTTTTTCATGTTTAATGAGCGTGGCTAGCCCCGATAGCTTCTGCATTTATTTGCCATTTGCAGTAAAACCACATTGGAAAAACTGTGCAAGACTACCCCAGTGTGCACCAGACAGAGAAGACGACACACACCAGAGCTCTTGCCACGGCGCCATCTTTACAGCGCCATGCAACAAACAGAATAAACAGCAGAGAGCAGTAACATACATATTACAGGACAGTTTGGATAAGACGCATTATGTTTTTGGATTACTATTAATTATTATTATGGAAGTAAACTCCGGCCACCCTTCGCCAATGTGGGCCGTCAGAGGGGGCTAGGTGATGGGAGGATGAGCAGGAAAGACTTAGACGGGGTGAGGAGGGAGGGAGAAGGGAGTAGGGAGGGGGAGAGGAGCGGGGGGGCAGTCCAAAGCTGGGTATAGCTATAAAAGTGTGAGGCTTGTTGTAGAGAGTCCATGTTATCTTCGGCCTTGGCCAGTAGGAATGTGAGAAGAGTGGAGACAGCCACAGCAAGAGGGAAAACACATCGCCTTGAGAGGGACAATATTATATGCAATGTGGCGGTCAAAAGCAAGGCAGATATACTATAAGTCCAATTAAACCGAATTGCGGCGCCCTCAGAACCTCCGTACACAGGGGCAAATCCATGCCGGGTCAGAGAGTTCACGTGTGGCAGACAATGTCATTCAGCCTCATTTATAGTGTCTTATGGACAAGGAAAAAGACAAAAACAAGAGAGAGCAAGCAGTCAGAAGCAGGAGCGGTCTGAGGACACGTCTATGCTCGACGGAGGCTGAAGTAGACGCGTAGTATTTGCACTGACCCCATTCCACTCCGCGGAGTCGTCACCTTCTCCCTGCTGAGGTCCATTCTCTCTTTGTCTCCTCTCTCCACCGTCCTTCAGGATCTCCACCACTTTGCTCTGGTTAAAGGCATCAATCCCCTGGAGACACCACCACAAAAGAACGAGAGGATTAATTACCGTTTCAACAAGAACTCAGTAGGTACTGTCAGGGATGAAGCAGACAGAGACGGATCGTGGTGTGCCAAACTCTGGAAGTTTATTTAAGTTTCTCTCAAGTTCCACTGGTTTACTTTGTTTCTTTCTCCCAGACAGAATAAAGGCAGTATACAGTTTATATAGTCATTGTCACGTCACACATCGAAAGACATACGTGTCACAAAGAGACAGTCACATCATAGTCATAACATGGAGTCCTTGTAGAGTCCTTGTACAGTCCTGCACGTAGGCCATATTGCTATCTAATACTAACAGTACGCAGCAGTTTCCTAGCTACAGCTATTGGGTCGCTATAAAAATGCTCTCGCACATTACAGCGGTCCTTATGTTTCACAATCTTTCAATAGATCACTTAATATTTGTGTCACGTTGCTTAAAAGGGACCTAATCTTATTTTGTTGGTATAGTGTGGTCTTTTTTGTGTTAAATAAAACTCATTTTGACAGATGGAAACCGCTAAGGGTGAAACTATCAATAATTATCATTCAAAAAGAAATTAGCGGAAAAATTACCGGGACCGGAAGTGACGTACACGTAGGGGTCATTGGGCTTTGTTGATATGCATTTGTAAGCCATAACGTTGTATACGGACGTTTTAAACAGATATTTGTTATTCAGTGATGGACAATACAAGTCAAGCGCTTTTATTTATGAGCCCTTGCGTACTTGTTATGACAGTAATTCTGATTTTGAGGACTCTGACGGTCCTCGGTTCAGATGAGGAGCAATCTGCAAGAAATGGACATTTGCGGACATTAGGACCTTTTCCACGGGCTGGAGTCATGTCATGGTCCGACCGGGTCCGACCCGTCTCGACCCGGTTTGCGGATGCGGTCAGTTTGAGCCCGATGGTGCACCCGAGTGAGTGTAAATAGCTAAGTGTTAGCGAATGTAGCGCTAGGGACGAAGGAGTACATCAGGGACATCGTAGTGCAGAGAAGAGTTAAGAAGCGTAAAAGTGACTACCGTGAAATGAAAGATCCCAGCTGTAAAAGTGGACAGAACTGAAAAGTCTGGAGGTGGCTTGACAAGAAGGATTAACGCTATTTTTACGGACATCAGCTAACACCCTAACACCAGCTAACACGTCAATACCCGTAACTCCGAGAGAGAAAAGCCTCAACTCTATGTCGCAGCTCCAGATGTTAGGTTTGAGAGAAATGGTGAGTGTCTTCAATCAAATGCAAACAATTCAATTCAATTCAATTCTTTTATTTACAAAACTTGTAGCCATATAGGTTATACACTTTTACAATGTAGGGTTGGTTGGTGTTTTGTAAAAAGGGAACTCCCAGGAAGCTGCATTAGCTTATAGACGGGGCCCCTAAAACAACACAGCAGAACAAGTGTAACATTCCATACTACTATACAATCCCAAACCCACTTACAAACACCCCACCCATCCCACCCCACCCATCCACAGGTCCCCACCCATCTACAGGTCCCCACCCATCTACAGGTCCCCACCCATCTACAGGTCCCCACCCATCTACAGGTCCCCACAGTTACAATCTCAGTCATTCGGTTCATTTTCCAATAGATTGGTCTTAGACATAGTACAGTAACTTTTTACACATTGATATTAACACAGCAAACGTGCTACATAATAATTCACTTTATCCATGAACATGTGTCTGTGGTTCTAAAGTCTTATTCTGAACGTGTGTCTGTGGTTCTAAAGTCTTATTCTGAACGTGTGTCTGTGGTTCTAAAGTCTTAGGCCCTGTCCACACGAAGTCAAGCTCAGGCCTAAATACTTTATCAATCCAGTGTATCGTCCATACGAGGCCGGCGTTTTGGGGGGGTGTAAACGAACATTTTTGAAAGTAGGTCCCAGAGTGGAAAGATTTCAATACTCCGTATATGCCGCTCCGTGGTTACTGCCTCTCCGCAATGTATCTGAGACGCTTGCGTCATCGCCCCGCCTCTTGTTAAAGCACGCATGCGCCGCACTCAGAAAATAATGACAACAACAATGTAGCTTGTTGGTTTTGTAATCCAGTGCGACCCGAAGCAACAGTTCAACCTCATCGTCCGTCCATACTAATGTAGTACCAGCTCGCCCACTCGCCATGTTGTCTGTTTACAAAATTCTGCGCATGCCCAGTTCTCGTCACGGAAGTTTGGGCTTGATCCCGTCATTGCGTCACAGCGCCACCAACAGGCATAGTTTCACAGCGTTTTCAGGCGTATTGACTACATTCATATGGACGCACACATTTACTGAGCTAACTCCGTGTTTACAGAAAAAGTTTCTGAAATTATAAGCGTTTTGTCTTCGTGTGGATATAGTCTTATTCTGAACGTGTGTCTGTGGTTCTAAAGTCTTATTCTGAACGTGTCTGTGGTTCTAAAGTCTTATTCTGAACGTGTGTCTGTGGTTCTAAAGTCTTATTCTGAACGTGTCTGTGGTTCTAAAGTCTTATACTGAACATGTGTCTGTAGTTCTAAAGTCTTATTCTGAACGTGTGTCTGTGGTTCTAAAGTCTTATACTGAACGTGTGTCTGTGGTTCTAAAGTCTTATTCTGAACGTGTGTCTGTGGTTCTGAACATGTGTCTTACTAAACGTAGAGTGAAACATGGATTCATGGTTCAATGACAGTTGTTATATTTTCTGCTGAATACTGGGTTGAAACTCGTAAAATTGGTTTTAGTTGGAGCTTGATAGAACTAATTTCATGGAACTGGCGCTGGTGTCTTCTCTCAGTTTGTGTGGGCCGTCACCTTCTCTGAATAAGTCAAAGATACACCCATTTTGAGGTTTATTTGTGTCAAAGCGGCAGCAGGAGCAATGCCATAAACAGTGAGGCGGGAGCTGCGACCCCTACAAGTACGTCATCATCATTCTGGCCAATCAGAGGCGTGGATATTAAAAAGTTGTTTTATTGATTTATTACTTATCTTTAACATAAAAACACATTGCAAAGGTGGGAAATACATGATTTTAATGTGTTTTGTCAGAAAAAAAAAAGAGTTTGTAATAACGTTAGTGCGTGTTAAAAAAATTGACGGATTTTCATCGTATACATTTTTTGCACCGCGGAACGTTTCTCACTGGATGAGTTTCAGACGGACCGATTGTACTGGAGCACCAACTAACGCGCATGAATTTGGTTCAGACAACAACAGAGCACAGAGGCACAGTGACCATGAACAAAGAAGCTGATGTGAGCGCGTTGGTTGGCCCTGTGGATGGGAACAAAAGGACTTCTCACTGTTCTCAGCTCAAATATTTATATGTGATTAAAATTTGATTAATTTTGATTAATTAATTACAAAGCCTCTGATTAATGTGATTAATTTTTTGAATGGAGTCCCAGCCTTAATTGTTTTGTGTGACAGCTTAAAACAAACTAAAACAGATGAAAATGTGTCCTTGTCATTTCACTACATGTTACTGACTCTGGAGACAAATAAATGATATACTTTTGACACATATTCCACTATAAACACATTTGGTACAAAAACAATAATAACTATAATAAACATGAATTTGTTCAGAAAAAATATACAGAAAATAATATCCAAGTTCAAGAAAAAACAATCTTTTGGTCCAAACACCTCCATGAAGTGAAAACAAATAATACAAGAAAACACAGCCAAATATGAACTGTACAAAAATCTACTAAATAAACAATGGAGAAAATAGTCTAAAAAAACATTTGTCCCTGACCCTGAATGAACTTGAGACTCTTCAAAGTTTCATTTGTTACTTTCATGCATTAATATTACATTCATGTTTCAATAGTTGTGAAGTTGTTAATAGTTAAATAGTTGAATCTAAAGACTTTTCACCTGTGGGAAGAAACAGAACGTATAAAACTTATAAAACATCATGAATGAAAACAGGAAAAGCTTTTACCGTTTGTGTTGCTTGCAGCACAGAGAGTTTCATACACACAAACGTCGGCTAAAGTGGAAAAACAATCATGATTTTAAAACGTAACTTAAAAGGTAAATAATATGTGGTACAAACCGTGCAGAAGAGATGAGTACAGCTGCTGCTGCTCTGGGGATTCTCCTCCTTCAACATTCTCACTATCGGGAAAAACACCACTTAACAAACTCATGATTTTAATGATTAAAGTGTAAGGACGATCAAACTAACCTGGCAGAATCTTGGCCTGAAAAGGAAAAGACAAATATGTGTTTATACATTTCAGTCACTTGTATGTTTTTATCTTGAGTTTCATGTTGTTGAGACACGTCTGTTTTACCGCTACATAAAGCAGATGGTTTCTATGGAAACAATGGTTCATGAAATCATATGTTCACCTTTTGTTTTGGTGCAGCTCCACAGAAGCAGCAGCAGAATCAGTAACACCACAGAACACACAGGTCCCACCACCCACATCACAGGGACAGAGGAGAGGCCTGTTTTTGACACAGGGGCAGCTGGAATAAAGCAAGAATTAATAGTTACCTAATGTAACTTAAGTTCTACGAATAGGTGCGTAGTCCCTTAGGACTTCGCTAGTGGGATATCACTCGTGACCCCCAGGTCACACGCCAGAGAGATCAAAATAATTTGCTCCAATCACCAGCCACCGTCCTCTATAAATGCCCCTGCACAAAGCCGCACCCCCTCTTGAACTCTGCCAAGCCGGGCTGGCCTGATGGGCTCGTAGCTAAGGGACTACGCACCTATTCGTAGAACTTAAGTTACATTAGGTAACTATTAATTCTACGTCATGGTGCTACGTCCCTTAGGACTTCGCTAGTGGGACACAACGCGGAGGCCGTAGGAAAATGTACTCCCAGCAGGCCAGCGAAGGGTGATTGGAGCTCCGCCCGAGCAAGACCCTCACACAGTGAGAGGACTCAGGGCAGAAGAAACAAAGCGTGTTACAGGGCCACTCCTACCAAGGATACCCCCACGTAACACAGACCGTAGGTCATCCGTAGTCACAGGACGCCTCTCCCAAGAGCTCCTGACGTGGACTACCTGACCGACCAACACACATATATGTACCGCACCTGTAGGACGCCTCTCCCAAGAGCTCCTGAACCAGGGCGGAAAGTAAACCGAAGGCCCCCTCAGAGGAGGGACCTAACGGTCTAACTCAGTCCGCTGCACTCAGCACGGAATGGGCCACCGACCGGTCCGACACATCCAACAGATAAGACCGGACGAAAGAGGAGGACGACGCCCAAGAAGCCGCACGGCAGACGTCCTCGACCGACGCCCCCCTGAGAAGGGCCGTAGAGGCCGCCATCCCACGCGTGGAATGCGACCTGAAGCCCACCGGGGGGGCCAGACCCTGCGTCTGATACGCCCGCCGCACAGCCGTGGCGACCCAGTGCGCCAGCCGCTGAGCCGACAGCAGGGCGCCCCTGTTCTTGGGGCCCAGACACACAAACAGCTGACCACCCAACCTGAATGACGACGTCATGGCCAGGTAATGCTTAAGCATTCTGACAGGACACAGAAGGTGCTGGCCCTCCTCCTCGGGGGAGGCATGCGGTGGCGGATAGAAAGCCCTAATCCTGATGACTCTCGACCTAAAGGCCGACGTGATGACCTTGGGGAGAAAAGCCGGATTGGGCCACAATTCCACCATGCCGTCGCCCTCTCCAAAGGACAGGCAAGACGCATGGACAGAGAGCGCACACAAGTCGCCCGCCCTCTTAGCAGACGCCAACGCCAACAAGAGGGCCATCTTAAAAGCGACACACTCGGGACTCGCCTCCGCCGCCGGTTCAAAAGGCGGACACGACAGCCCCCTAAGGACCACCCTGAGGTCCCAAACCGGGGGCGTTCTCTGGAGCGGGGGCCTCCTCCTGCGCGCCCCCCGCAGAAAACGTTTAACCAACGGATGAGAGCGGGCTGTGAACCCCCCGAATCCGTCGTGACCTGAAGTAATGGCTGCCGCGAACACCGCCAAGGTGGCGACAGCCCTCCCCTTGTCAAAGAGCTCCTGTAGGAATCCCAGGACCCCCTCCAGCGGGCAACGCCTGGGATCCCAGGAACGGGAACCGCACCAGACGCTGAAGAGCCTCCACCTCGTGGCGTAGGCCCTCACAGTGGACGGCGCCCTCGCCCCTGAATGGTCTCCACCACCGCAGGGGGAAGACCCAGGTCTACGAGGTTCCGCCTCTCAGCCTCCAAACCCAGAGCCTGCGGCCGATTATCGGGCGTGAAAACAGGGCTCCTCCCCCCTGGACTAGAGCCCCCGGCTCGTCCGGGAGGGCCCAGGGCTCCATCACCGCCATGCCCCTCAGGAAGGGGAACCACCGGGCATGCGGACTGTCCGGAGCCACCAGGATCACAGACCTCCTCTCCTGTTCGAACCTCCGCAGCAGGACCGGCAGGAGACGCACTGGTGGGAAAGCGTACAGCAGGCCCCCTGGCCAGGGGTAATGAGCCAGAGCGTCCACGCCTAAGGGCGGCTCGTCCGCGGCCCTTAAAGCAAACCAGGACGGGCACTGTGCGTTCTCTGCACTTGCGAAAAGGTCGACCACTGGATGGCCGAACCTCCGCCAGATCTCCGCAGCTACCCGTGGGGCCAGGCCCCACTCGTCCTGGAGTGGGCCCCCCCTGGACATCCTGTCGGCCCCCACGTTCCGGACCCCCGGGACGTGGCGCGCCCTGAGAGACAGGAGGTGAAGCGCCGCCCACAGCAGCGTCACCGTCGCCATGCGATGGAGAGCGGGGGACCTGGTGCCCCCCTGCCTGTTCAGATAGGAGACCACTGTGGTGTTGTCTGAGCGCACCATCACGTGTCTCCCCTGCAGCTGAGGAGCAAAGTGCAGCAGTACTCTGTGCACTGCCTCCATCTCCAGCAGGTTGATGTGACGGGCTGAGTCCGACCAGCAGCCTCCTACAGAGCTCTGGCCGAGGACCCCGCCCCATCCTTCGAGCGAAGCGTCCGTGAACACCTCCACGTGAGACACGGCGCAGGCCAGAGTCACTCCGTCCCGCAATAGACCCGGAGTGAGCCAGAACCTGATGTCCAATGCTGCCACTTGGGGAACCCAGATCAGCCTCCCCCCGTCCCGGGAGGGGTGAAGCCTGAGGCGCGAGAACCACCTCTGAAAATTTCTCATGTGGAGCAGGCCTAGCCGCACCACAGCATGAGCCGCCGCCATCATTCCCAGCAGGGACCTGAGGCGCCGAGCGGGGACTCTGGGGCCCGCCAGAACCTCCCGGGCCAGACGGGTAATATTCATCCGTCTGTCCACGGACAATGCAGCACGGAACGTCACAGAGTCTAGCTGCAGGCCGAGATAAATCATGCGCTGAGCAGGCTGCAGCTTGCTCTTCTCCCTGTTCACCACAAAGCCCAGACGCTGTATGTGGGACAGGACCCAGTGCGTGTGGCTCACGGCCACTTCTCTGGATGAGGCCAGAATTAACCAGTCGTCTATGTAGGTTAATATTCTTACCCCTGCACGTCTGAGCGGCTCCAGAGCTGCTTCCACACATTTGGAAAAAGTCCGAGGCGCGAGTGCGTACCCGAAGGGTAGACGGCAGTACTCGTTCCTCTCTCCCACTGCGAAGCGCAGAAACCTCCTGTGTTCTGGCACTATGGGCACGTGGAAGTACGCATCTGTCAGGTCTATGGATGTCATCCAGTCTCCCTCCCTGACACACTCGAGGAGCTGCCTTGTGGACAGCATCCGAAACTGCCGTTTGGAAATGCACTCGTTTAACACGCGCAGATCCAGAATGGGACGCACCCCGCCTGACTTCTTTGGCACTAAGTAGTAAGGGGAGTACAGCCCCCTGGTGGCGTCCTGTGGGTCTACCTCCACTGCCGCGCCTCGACTCAGCAGAGAGGAGACCTCCGCTTGCAGTGCCTCTAATGATCCCCGTACCTGAGAGCGTGCTGCCCGTACGCCTCGGAATGGTGGTGGCTTTCTGGAGAATTGCAGCGGAAAACTTCTGCGCAACGTCTTCTCCAGCCATTGATTTGTCAGCAAACCTCGCTCCCTCCAGATGCTGTAGAAGTCTGTGAGGGGCGGAACGGGAGCTGGAACACGAGACGTCACTGCCCCGCCCTCTCCTGGTGTTCCTAGCAGGGAGGGGGGGTGGACGAAAGGGCCGGGGGGCCCCCTGCGTCACACCGAGAGCGCCGGGGGCAGTCACGTGTCCTGCAGGCCCGACGTCATAAGTACGGGACTGCTCATACCACGTGACTCGGCTGCTGTGCCCCCCCTGGCTCTAGCCTCATGGAGGCGGGGGGCGAGCCCCTGGAGTGGGAGACCCCGTGTTAGCTTTGTAGCTCAGAGATGCTAACACGCGTACGGCCGAAGCACACACATCACTACTCACCAGATCCCTCCGCCTGACCTCTCTGAGGGCATAGCATGAACCAGAGAACCAGAGCTCGCAGCTCGCGTAGCGCCCTGCACACCCTGCTCTGGGGGCTGCAGGCCTAGCGAAGCAACGTTATGTGCTCGAGAAGTAACACAATCAGAATTCACATTGTTTGACATGTTACATACCCCCAAATGAGACTCAGACAACGAGTAATGACGAAATGCCGGTGGGCCTTTATTGAAAGAATTCTTCCCACCCCGACCTCCGCCATAGTGAGGTCGGCGATGGGTGCGTTGGTCCCGCGAGCCTCCCCTGGGCCTGTCTGGACCCGGGGGCCTCGTGGAGGGGGACGATAGGCCTCAGAGCGTGGATAAGGGCCAGGGCGCCACCCGGGCGAACGCTCCCTGCCTCTGTCCCGGCTCCGCGCTGGTGGGCGGGCCTCGCGCGTCGGCGCTAGGTGCTGGGCTAGGCTAGCCAAGTCCTTGGCTGCGGTCTCCAGTCTAGCCACCAGGGTCTGCATGTCCGGGCCGAAGAGGGACGTCTGGGAAACAGGCAGGTCCAGCAGCTGCCTCTTCTCCGCCTCTCTGATGTTAGCAAGCCCAAGCCAAAGGTGCCTGGCCCCGACTTGGGCTGCTGCCATGGAGCGGCCACCATCCACAGCTAGCGTCTGGCACATGCGCAGAGTCGCCGCCGAGGTGGTCCTCGTCTGTGACAGGAGGTCTCCACTGAGCGCCTGGCCAGAGGAGAGCGACCTATCCAGGGCCCCCGTGATGAAAGTCATGTTGTTAGCCAATGTGACGACCTGTGCCGCATTGGCATAACATCTATCCAGCATCGGCAAGACATCCTGTCCCGCTCGGAGGGAAGGAGAGGTCTGGTGTCGGGCCACACGGATGCGGAGGGCTGCAGGGCCATGCGGACTGAATCCTCGATCACCGGTCCAGGACCAGTCCTGCCCGCTGCAGTACATGTCGTACCCCAGAGCAGGTCTCTTGGCTGCTAGGGGCTTAGGCCACTCACGTGTCGCGTAATGGACGAAGGGTCCATCCGCGGGCACAACGTGGGTTGCATCCTCCTCCTCCCTCGAGTGGTGGCGCCCACAGAGGTGAAGTCCTCCACCGTCTGGATCCAGCGACGACGTCCGACGCCGGAGGGCGAAGGGAACTCGGACGAACAAGGAAGACATCTCAGAATGAAGTAAGTACTGTGGTAGATCTCAAACGGCGCCAGAGTGAAAGAGGGGGTGCGGCCTTGTGCAGGGGCATTTATAGAGGACGGTGGCTGGTGATTGGAGCAAATTATTTTGATCTCTCTGGCGTGTGACCTGGGGGTCACGAGTGATATCCCACTAGCGAAGTCCTAAGGGACGTAGCACCATGACGTAGAAGTTAAAATGTATCTTTATTTTTAAGTACATTGTATATTTTAACTGTTCGTACTGACTTTGAACAGAGACCCAACTCTCTGGAGACATCCCAGTCTTTGGTACTGATGGTTGCCGTGGTTTCCATTGTCCAGTGTTGTTCCAGTTCACAGCTTTTCTGAACTAGTTCAAGTTCAGTTCATACATGCTCAAAGTGAACAGTTCACGTTCAAAGTTCACATTTTTAATTCTGAACTAGTTCAAAGTTCAGTTCATTTTACTTTTTTCGTGAGATAAATACATATTTTTTTCACACTACGAGCTATATATCTATATATATATATATACTCCTGTACACCCACAGGAGGAGAGCCTTTTGACTACAAAACAGACAAGATTTACATGGTTTTCAATGGGAGCTAAACGGAGTTGTCCCATCTCTGCTCATAAACTACAAACAGTAATGCGCTGCAGTGCGTGTGTCTATACTTTATGTCAAATGTAAACGGTGTAAACTTTGTCGCTAACTCACCCTGTGTTTTCATCACGACTCGGGCACATGTGAAAAGCACCAGCTCACAGCGCCGCACCACAACACAGAGTCGGGGTGCGTTCACAGACGGTGGAAACCGTAGGAATTTTTAGATTTCGGCGGAAAAAGTGCGAGAATACAGGAGGGAGGAACTTTCTCTCGTTGCGTTTCAAAAGAGAAAACAGATTCCAACGTTCATAGAGATGTCTGCCGTTCATGACACATAAAATGAACTAATTCACGTTCAAGTTCTTTTTTTAAAAATGTGTTGCGTTCAGTTCAACGCAACAAAAAAATGAGCGTGTTCAATGAACGCGTTCTTTTGAACTCGTTCACGCACAACACTGCCATTGTCCTTCACATTTATAAAGGCCTTCATCAGACCTGGACGCTGCAGAGATGCTCAGCTCTGATTCTGTCCCATTTTGAACCATTTTTCCATCTTTATAAAAAATGACTGAAGTAAAAGTCCCTTCTTTGAGCTTGCAGCTGAAAGACACAGACTGTCCCTCAGTCACTGCACCAACAGGACTCACAAGGATGATGTCACCTGAGAAGTCAAAACAATCAAACAGGATTTTATAAAAGTCCAAACTCAGATTGTAACAAACTCACTGTGAGCGGAGATGTTGATGGCGTTGCTCATTTCTCCAGTTCTGGACTCGCACCAAAACACTGCACTGGTTTTCTCATGTAAACTAAAGTCACATTTATCTTTCCTCATTGAGCTGCATGTTTGTGCAGAGAGTTTGTTGTCAGAATATCTTTTATATTCTGCTCCAGTGGAGTTGAACCCACAACTCAGAGAGATGATGTCATCAGTGAAGTGCTGTGTTCTGTCAGGACTGACGGACAGAGACTCTGTAGACGCTGCATCTGAGGAGAAAGGACCAGGATCAAGAAACTCAGGTTTAATACACTCTGTCTAAAGAAACTCAGGTTTAATACACTCTGTCTAAAGAAACTCAGGTTTAATACACTCTGTCTAAAGAAACTCAGGTTTAATACACTCTGTCTAAACAAACTCAGGTTTAATACACTCTGTCTAAAGAAACTCAGGTTTAATACACTCTGTCTAAAGAAACTCAGGTTTAATACACTCTGTCTAAACAAACTCAGGTTTAATACACTCTGTCTAAAGAAACTCAGGTTTAATACACTCTGTCTAAAGAAACTCAGGTTTAATACACTCTGTCTAAACAAACTCAGGTTTAATACACTCTGTCTAAAGAAACTCAGGTTTAATACACTCTGTCTAAAGAAAGTCAGGTTTAATACACTCTGTCTAAAGATGAGGCTCAGAGAGAGAGACATGAGGCTGTAGCTTCAGACCAAACAAAAGAGGGGTCGCTGTATTCAGAGAAGAAGGCGGAACTTCCTCTTGTTGCTCGACACACAAACGCTGCTGAGTGGTTGAGGCCCTGGAGGCTGAAGGAGTTGTGTTCAGGGCCCACACTGGCCCCTGGGAGCCGCTCATATGTGAAAGACTTTGAGTGGGGAACAGCCCTGTACCAGTGAAAGCTCCATATAAATAGTATATTTGATAATATCATAAAGTTTGTGGTCCTCGCAGGGCAAAAGAGGTGTGGAAACTTATGCAACTCACTGTAATTCCCCAAAGTTGGATTTATAAGCATTTAATAAACAGTTTAAGCATAACATTGAACAGACTCTGGAATCAAGGAAATAGATGAAAATGAATAAAATGAAATATGTGAATTTATCTTTTACATTAAGGACAAATCTCTTAAAATTACTTTATCTAATTTATCAATCAAGACAAGACATTTGTACAGTATTTCTTTCTAGATAACTTTTTTACAGTGCAGAAAATGCATTATTTTAGAAGTCTTCCAGGAAATGCTTGCGATCTACAGAAAATGACCTCTTAATCTAATCTAGCATGAAATAAAAATGCTAAATTCCAGATGAAAGAGAGATTATTACCTGTTGTCACTTTGCAGAAGACGACACAAAACCCTTCAATGAAAGAGTAGTTTAAATATACATTGTTGTCTATTGTTTAAATAGTTTAAAGTCTTAAATTGTGAAGTAAAAGTACTCACAGATGGACCAGCGTGAGCAGAGAGAGGCGTCCATCTTCACCTCTTTGTCTCTTTTGATACAGTTTCATTTTGATCACTTTTGTGTTGTGTTTCCTTCCTGTTCACACCACACTCGCTGAACCAGAAACCAGAAGGAAACAGTCGACTAAAATACACATTTCCCAGTAAAGTATTCTTGTTTGTGTCAAGTTGACCTCATCAGAACAATCTGATCCTTAAAGCTGAGTATCCAACTGAAAATATAAACACCAGGATCACAGAGAGAATAAACCTCTGATTTTTAAAGTCCAAAATGGTGAGTGTGACACAAACGCTTCTGAGCTCGAGGAGATCACTTTTGAAAGTACGTCAAAAGCAAAACTTCATCCATGAGCACTTCCTTATAGAGCTTCATTGAGCTAGCAGATTAGCATCATCCATCTTTATAGAGTCTCTGGATATTACACATAGATCATCTCTTTGTTCACCGTCTGCCTGAACGACTGATACATGAGTGAATGGAAAGTCTCCATGGCCTCGAACCAAAGTCCATCTGCCACATGTTAGTGCCATACTGTAGGCAGGGATCTTTGCACACCAGAGCAACCTGGAAGTTTATTCACAACAGGTGGTAGATTCAGGCAGAACAATAAACAGGGAAACATTATATATTGGATATATTGGCGTCAGTCAGCTAAAACAACGGATACACAATCGTAGCAGATATACAATCAAAGAACATTGTGTGTCTTGTACTTCTATTTTATCTTGTTTTTGTACTACTATACAGGCCATGGCCTTCTATTGTTCATATGAGTTCAAGTGGCTCACAGCAGACAGTTGCAGTTCCAACTGGCAATTTTATTGTCAGTGAATGCAAAAATCTTAGTAAGGTGAACAATTTTGAGTTGTATTTTTTACAGTCCAGCACCAGAAGTCGCATTAATGGTGAGTGTTATAACAACATTATTTAAAAGAATAAATTCAGAGGCTTATTATATATATGATTCGAAGTTTGCGTGTTTCCGTTAGACTTTTTCTGATGCGCAAATTCAATTTTTTAAACATGATGCTAGAGTGTGAACATGTTTATTGTTGTCCAAATCTTGAATTTCATGCGTGTTTTGGCGTGTTGTGCCGAAGGTTGAAATGAATAGTTGCTAGACTGTAGTAAACTTGTAAAACGATATTGCTAATACAAATGTATGATGGGTGGGACACTTTCTTTCTCCGTGTTTTACAAATATAATGGAGTTGGCTGATGAATGTGAAGAAGATGAGCCAAGTCTGGGATCGCGTCTTAAATTCAGACAGAAGACATGTTTTATTGTCGATGGTAGACACAGCACGAACACGAACACAGATACAACAGAATGCAAGTGTATTATACAGAGCGGAGGCATGGAGACCTCCAATCAGCAGCTTCCACAGTGTGCTTGTAGCTTGGCCTTCAGATAGACACAACAAGGGAAAAGTACTGGCTTCTGCACATTGATAGAATGATGAGTTTAACTTTAACAAAAGTTGCTTCAAAGTGTTATGAAATCTCACATTCCCCCCTCTGGTCATACATTCACGTGTGACCATCAGGATCGATAAACAGCAACATAACATCATAACTCAATACTTAAACTCTGTACTTCACTTGGTACCTCAAAAAACTCAGAACTCGGAATACTTCAAAAACTCAGAAAACTCATAAAACATGTTCAGATCTTTCATAAAACTTGTCAACAATCTTCAGTAAAATACCAAACTTCATCAGTCGATGGTTCCAGATATTGCTTTGAAAACAGTCTCTCCCACTTCTCCGTGTTGGTTTCTTCAGGCTGCATTTGTGTCGAGCCATAGCAGTGAATTCTTCTGTGACGTGTCTTTCAATCACACGTTTCAGCTTTAGTGTCCAGATTCAGCAATCCAATTCAGTCCAAATTATGTCCAAATTCAGAAATCCAGATTGTTCCAAATTATGTCCAAATTGTGTAATCCAATTTTTCCAAATGATGTCCATGCAAAAGAGGACGCTGGTGTTGTCCATGTCTCAGCAGCTCACAGCAGGCCTGACTGGAATCAGGGGCTGTGCAGATTGTCCAAGTGTGCTGGTCCAGATGCATTCTCTTGAGGTTTCTCAGTTTTGGCTTAAAAAAAAAAAACACTTTTTGTGTAAAAAAAAAAAAAGTCTTCTGTTCTCTAGATGTTCCAGACAAGGCCCGCATTCTTCCACCACCTGAAGAAGGTGACATAGTCTGGGATCGTGTCTTAAATTCAGACAGAAGACATGTTTTATTGTCGATGGTAGACACAGCACGAACACGAACACAGATACAATAGAATGCAAGTGTATTATACAGAGCGGAGGCATGGAGACCTCCAATCAGCAGCTTCCACAGTGTGCTTGTAGCTTGGCCTTCAGATAGACACAACAAGGGAAAAGTACTGGCTTCTGCACATTGATAGAATGATGAGTTTAACTTTAACAAAAGTTGCTTCAAAGTGTTATGAAATCTCACAAATGTCTGCTTAGTTTTAACACTAGCAAACCCAAGCGAAATTGGCCCCTGTTTTGAAAAGAAGGATAGGTTGGCTGCTAACATTTGCATGTATTGATTTGCAAATTTAGGTAATGACTAATAACAGCAGGGGCCTGGGGTGGGCTTTGTTTTTTCGTGCGGGGGAGGGAGAGCTGCAAGAGAGTACTACTATAGTCCACAGATACACATGTGGACAATGCAGAAGAGATGCCATGGCAGTGCTGTGTCCCCTGAGAATGCGCTGTATATATTTTGTAATCAGTTTGTGCATTTCTCAGAACAATTAGTGCAAACGGCAAAACCTCATGGATAACTTGCTAAAAAGTCACTTCCTCAAAATGAACTTAATTCCTCAACAGAACGGTCTGTGTCTCAAAAGAATAAGTCCTGACACCAGTGTTTATGAACAACAGTCAAATTATTTAGTCATGTTTTCATTGTGACTGTATTTAGTGAGATACTGTATATATGTATGTACTGTATGTCTTTCACATATTTACCGCATATGCTCTTTGCAATTCTATAGCATTGTGCAACAAAAATAGCACACATACAGTATTTACGTAGAACAAACATACAAAACACTGAGTCACGTGTGACATAATCGCAGCAGTTTCTCGTTTGAACAGATTACAAATGCTTTTGTTCATGTATCAGTTACTTTCATACAATTCTCTGTTTTATAACATCATCATTTGCTTCTGTCCTGTTAGTCAAAATAAAACTTATCACGACTGAATAGTTTCTCCCTGTAAAACTAAAGCTCATTTCATGGCTTTGGTCATCACATACAAAACTGTTGAACTCGTTCAAAACCAAAATCTGTCAATCTGATTTCATACAATACTTTATCTTTTTACATCCTGAACATTTTTCCTAACACGACAAGGTGTGTTTTTTATTGTTTACATTTGTCACAGTTCTACCATAATGATATTCTGTATGTTTGTTCTATGTACATACATGTATGTGACTGTATTTTTGTTGCACAATGCTGTAGAACTGCAAAGAGCAAATGCAGTAAATATGTGAAAGACATACATCGATACATACATGCATACACACACACACACAGTACATATAAATGTGTATTTTACTCTCACTAAATACAGTCGTGTGTAACTTTACTGTAGTATTCAGCTGTACAGTGTTTAGTGCTCACCAAGATCTGATTTTTTGCTTTGAAAAAAGCAGAGAGAGTAAAGTGTCACAATGAAAACATGATTAAGTCATTTGGCTGTTGTTCATACTCAATGTTGTCAGGACTTATAATTTTGACGACACAGACAATTTCACTGACATGAAGACTTGCTTTTGAGGAATAAACTTTTCATTTTGAGAAGGTGATGCACTTTTGCAAGTTATCCACCAGGTTCTGCAGTTTGAACTAATTGTTCTGAAAAATGCACCAACAGTTGTGATGTATTATACATTATACATGGTTTTATGAAACAGAATTCTGAGAAAAACAGGTTTAAAGATCGACATTCCAAACATAATCATCACAGTCATATAACATGTACATTTTGAATTACTCTGTTATGGCACACTTGTTTTATTCACTATGTTGTAGAAGATTAAAAAGATGTTACTTTGGCACCAATTAAACACACAACACTCATGAATTAGTCGAAAATCAAGAATGTATTGATTCTTTCAATATTCAATGGATTGAATTTTGACCTCCTCTTCTTTTTCTTTCTTTTTATAATTTACTGAAAATTAGATATGTATTAGACATTGCCAGTATTATTCTATCAAATCACGCAGTCTAAATATTCACAACCACCAAGCATTTTTAATGCAAGGAGAAACTTAGGTAACTTTAAACACAAATAAAACAAATGGACCTGTCCGACTCGAGTGTCTATGCTTCGTGTGTCTCTGGTTCTGTCCAAGTGTCTATGATCCGCGCGTCTCGCGTGTCTCCGCCTGTCTGGGTTCTGTCTGCGTATATGTAAATGTAAATGTAAATGTCTGTCTGTGGTTCTGTTCGGGTGTCTATGGTCCTGTCTGTGGTTCTGTTCGGGTGTCTATGGTCCTGTCTGTGGTTCTGTTCGCGTGTCTATGGTCCGCGCTCGGAGCCCAGACGGCAGTGCGTTCACTGAGCTGTCAGAGCGGGGGTCACAGCAGCTGCTCCCGGGGCCAGAGCGGAGGATGTAACGTAACGTTCGGTTTATCAAAACATATCACAATATTTAACGTATAACACTAGTGAATTTCACCTAGATTTTTTCAGACATTAAAGACAAGATGTTATATAATAATTGTTTAATGAAAAAACAATTTTGCCAAAAAAATGACAATCGACCTATTTTTACTGTTTACTCGGAACGTGCCAGCGTGACATCCGACGGGTTTTCCCAGATCACATCACATATATACGTTAATGCAATTTAATTATAAAGATTAACATTAGTACAAAATATGTATATGTTGTCTGTTAAGCTCTTACTTTGAAAAAGCATTCAATAGCAACACATATACATTCACATGCACGGCTTGAACACACAGCCAATTTTAC